ACTGTAATTAAAATGTCCATTGCCCTCCAACACCCTTATTGCAATTATTATCAAACATGAAATATGCAGGATCCAAATTCAAATCTCAAGTTTTAGAAAAAGCTATAATGCAAGGGTGGCTGAAGAAGCCAAAATAATTTTGGTAGCAACATAGATAGACTCCTGAATGAACATTAATACTCTGATATGTATTAAATTTAAATGATCCCAGTGTGTCCGGAGAGATAGTACTAGGGTAAGGTGTTTATCTTAGAGTCTGTTGACACTGTTAAATCCCTGTCACCACATATGGTTCCCTGAGCACTGAGCCAAGAATTGCCCCTGAGCACTGCTGGTGTGGTGAAAAAATTTTTACAAATTATTTTCTTGTTGTTTTTTGGGCGGTTCTCTGGGTTTACTTGGGGCTCAGGGGACCACATGTGGTGGTTTGAATCCAACAAATGTCTTGCCCAGTCCCAAATAAGCTAAATTTAATTTTGCATTAATTAAAGATGCCAATACTTTTATGAAGGCCCTATTCCACAATGCAATAGATTTGTCTCATCATGACCCTTATGTACTTAGTGTACGAGGCAGGTATAAGGAACTGAACCCTAAAGAAATATGGAAAGAAAACTGTAATAAGGAACAACTTGCCTGCAAAGGCTGAAAACAAGGTAAACGGGGATGGAGCGATAACACAGAGGGTTGAGTGTTTTCCTTGCATGAGGCTGACCAGGGTTCGATTCCCAGCATCCCATTTGATCCCCTGAGCACTGCCAGGAGTAATTCCTGAGTGCATGAGCCAGAAGTAACCCCTGTGCACCACCGGGTATGACCCAAAACAAAAAAAAAAAAAAACAAAAAAGAAAACAAGGTAACAACACAGATGACCAAGAAAATGACAAAGGGACCAGACAGATAATTCAGGAGTTAACCATACTGGTATTTATTTGTTTGTTTTGGGGCCTCACGTGGCAGTACTCAGGGTTTACTCCTGGATTTCCATTCAGGGATCACACTTAGTCCACTTGGGGACAATATGGGGTGCCAGAGATCAAACAGGTCAGCTGCATGCAAGGCAAATGCTCTTTCACTGGACTGTCACTTGGACCCCAAGGTACTTATCTCATGTGCACCAGGTCCTGACTCTAATTCCATCTGGCACCGCTTGGTCAGTCCCCTTAGCACTGCCAGGAGTGACCCCTTAACACAGAATAGCCTTTGAACACTGCTAGGTCTGTGTCCCCCACTGTCCCCACCCCCTTATTTATTTAATGTGAAATGAGAGGCTCAAAATTCAAATCTTGACTCATCTAGTTGGACTCATCTTGTATCTTGTGCCCAGGGGCAAGATCCATGAGTTCTGAGTCCAGAACAATGAGACTCTTCAAGCGTTTCGACAAAACATACTAGCAGTTTGTTTATGTATGTTGTGGCAAACTTTTCAGAAACATGTTGATCAAAGCACCTGAGGAAATCAGAAGGCTCATTGTAAATTAGCTCTGCTGACGTGGCCATCCGTGGCTCCAATGTACATCATGACCCAACATTTGGGTTGGGGTGAAGATGGAAAGGGCTGGAGCACAGGTTCGCCATATGGAAACCTAGGTTGTTCCCTTGTACTGCACGGTCCCCCAGCACCTCCAGAAGTGGCCCCTGAGCACTGATGGGTGTGATTTCCAAACCAAAAAAACAGAACCCAAATTCCTTCTATTGATACCACTCCTGTTCCCGCCTTTTCCCATTGCACCCTCATAGTCTCTTCATACCACAGCAAGTACATTTGATTGGGTGGTTCAAAGACTCCAGTGCTTCTTCTAGTAACATATTATTAGTAGAATAAAGTCCTTATTACCTGTCACAGTCATGCTTTGTCTGGCCACACTGGGCCTCCTTAACCAAATTTTTTCCCTAGGGTTACCCCTTACTCAGCATCTCCACCCAGATTCCTAGCTGTTTTTTTTTTTTTTTTTTTTGCTGTTGTTTTAGTTTTGTTTTATTTTGGTTTGGGGTCATGCCCTGCAGTACTCAGAGATCACCCTGGCTCTGCACTCAGGAATGATTCCTGGTGGTGCTTAGGGGTCCATATTGGATGCTGGGGAATTGAACCTGGCTCTGGCACGTGGAGGCAAGTGCCCTATCCACTGTGCTCTCTCTCCAGCACCTCCTTGCTGTTTTTCCAACCTGTCAAACAGGCCTTCAGGCCTTCACACTGACTGGTCCCAAGGACCAGAATAGTTTCCCCAGGGCCCTCACTTCCTGCGGATCTATACTTCAATGTCACCCTGTCAGAAATGCCTTCTCCAACCACCCAATATAAACCAGACCCCAACTCCATCCCGTTCTCCAGACTTGAAACTTTTCTCTGTAGACCCATCCTCATTTAGCTTACTGTAATTTGTTATCTTACTTTCTTCCTCCAGACTGCTAGCTCAATGGTGAAGGAGCTTATTCTGTTATTCACTGTGTTGTCCCTAATTATGTGTGAAAAGAAGAAATGATACAACTGGAAAATAGGTTCATGATGTCACTGGCAGAGAAAAGCAAATTATTTTCTAGAAATGGTGGAGTTCCTTCTGGAAGTCTAAAGCACTGTTTTTGGTTTTGCTTTTGTTTGGGGACCACACCTGTTGATGCTCAGGTTTTCCTCTCTCTCTGTCCTCGGGGATCAGTGATGGCAGGGGCTTGGGAACTATACGTGATGCTGGGGATCGAACCTGGGTCTGCCCTGACCTGCATTGCTGCTTGTGTCACCTGCTGTGCTATCTCTCAGCCTTTTTTTTTTTTTTGAATAGGAGTCACACCCAATGGTGTTTGTGAGGACTTGGCAAGGACCATAAGGGTTTGGTGCTTGGCTGTGTGGGAGGAGTAACAGGCTGGCTATGCTTAATTGGGTGCGGTAAATGTGGTAGGGATGAACTCTTTGCACAAGTCTTTGCACAAGCTAGGTATATGCCCTACTACCTCAACTATCTCCCCAGGCCAATATTTTCTTTTTTATTTTTTTAATGTGGTGGGTGGTGGTGGGGAGATCCATCCTTAGTACTCAGGGCTCTGCACTCAGGCTGGTGGTGCTTGGGGGATCATATGTGATGCTGGGGATCAAACCCTGGTTGACCACATGCAAGGGTAGCACCCTACTCACTATACTATCTCCAGTCCTCTTTCTGATTTTGGGTTACTACCGGTGGTGCTCTGGTCTATTGCTTACTCTGTGTTCGGGAGACCATAAGTGGTGCCAGGGACTTGAACAGGGTCCATCAGGATGCAAGGCAAGAGCCTTAAACCCCAGGGTAGGGGTGGATCTCAGTTCTCTTTTTAAATTTTTGCTTTCAGTGCCAGGGATCGATCTCAGTGCTTTATCTCAGAGCCACATCTCAGGCCCCTAGTAACAGGGTTTTTTTTTTTTTTTTTTTTTTTTTTTTTTTTGCTTTATGGGTCACACCCGGGGAAGCACAGGCGTTACTCCACGATCATGTACTCAGGAATTACTCCTGGCGGTGCTCGGGGGACCATGTAGGATGCTGGGTCCAACCGCGGTCGGCTGAGAACAAGGCAAACGCCCTAGCCTCTGTGCTATCACTCCAGCTCACTAGTAACAGATTTTTAATCATCACTACACCTTGTGAAAATATGCCTGTTGATTGAAAAGAAAGTCCCAGAGTCACAGATAAGTTGGTTTGGTTTTTGGTTTCAGACCCTTCTTCAATCAGGTTTCATTCTAAGTTTTCTCTCTCTCTCTCTTGAGAATGGGCGATGGGGGAGGACACACAGAATGGTGCTTAGAGCTTACTCCAACCAGCAGCGCATCCGCCGCGGGCAAGGCCTTCCCTGTTGTCCTTTCTCTCTGTCCTCTTCCTTTCCTTTCCTGTTCCAAACAGGCAAAACAAACAAACAAACAAACAAGCAAGCAGGCAAGCAAACAAACAAACAAACCCCTCCCCGGACTGCAAAGATAACAGAATTGAAGAGCCACTGTTTCAGACATGGGGGTGGTAACTTTGAGACGTTACTTCTTTGTGTGGGGTCGCTGGCCTCCACCCCCATCACCCCCTACCCCAGCTCCAAAGTTCAACACTGAGTGTCTCCAGAGGCGGCCTTGAGGAAGGGCCCTCACACAGGGGCAGCTAAAGGAGTATTCAATCTTAGTGCGCACGCCAGAGCCAGGACTGGGATAAGGGTGCCAACCGCGCCCCTTTCCCGACGGGGAGCTCTAGGGCTGCAGAGAAGATAGTTCTTGGTGGACACCTCCTGCACACCCCGACCGGGAAGGGTGTGCAGTCTTGGTGTTTGGGCTTCCAAGTTAGGACTTGCAAGTAATCGCTCGGTTGATGGTGCGCCACGAATCCACATATTACTTTGAAAGAGCCGGTTCCCAACACATCACCTAAAGACAAATGTCCCAGCTCTGATGGCTATAAACGATGCCCCAGGAGATGGCCACAGGAGATCTGGTCCGTCCGCCCGGAGTCCGCTTCCGGCTCTCGTGGTGTCAGTTACCGCTCCCGGGGGAAACGCAGGAGTAGTGATTCCCATTCATTCAGCAAATATTTACGCGCGCGCCCGCCGCGCACGGGGCACTGGGGGGGACCCCGGGGCGAGGGGTGGGGGTGTGCAGCAAGCGGGGAGTTCATCTTCCTCGGTGTCCCCGGGGTACCGGGGCGCCACCCGGCTCCCCCTCCGCTGCCCCCCGCCACGGGGCCTGGGTGTGCCCAGCGTTGGCAACGCCCTCGGGGGGGGGGGACCCGCCCCGCGGGATCCCGTCTCCAGGGTTTAATCGGGTGGATCAGGAGGCGGCGGAGGGTGGGGGAGCCAGGGTGCGGGGTGGGGGTGGGGGGGAAGCGAAGCCCCGAAAAAGAAAGAAAGAAAGAAGAAAACAAAATCAACAACACAAAACAGGGTCCCGCAGCCGGCGGTGGGCAGCGCGCCAGGGAGCCGGAGGCGGCCCCGGGCTGGGGCTTGGGGGGGTGGGGTGGGGGGGCCGGACGGCGCGTCCCGGAGGGCGCGGCCGGCGGGAGGGGCCGGGGCGGCGCCGCCAGGGACGCGCGGGGCCCAGCAGGTGACCCGGGCCGGAGCCCGAGCCGAGCCCGCGCGGCCGCAGCTGGGAGGCGGCTGAAGTTGGCCGGAACATGGCGGAGTAGCCGGGGCCAGGTCGCCGCCGCCATGGCCCGTTGGATCCCCACCAAGAGGCAGAAGTACGGGGTTGGTGAGTGCGCGACCCCCAAGTTCGCGGCCGGGGCTCCCGCCGCCCCCGCGCGCGCGCCGTCCCCGCCTCCACCACCCCCCATCCCCGCGCGCCCGCCCGAGGCCGCCCCTGGGGTCCGAGTCCTCTTTGCGACCCTTGTTTTGGGGGGTGGGTGGTGGGGGGAGTCACTCCGGGATGTGAAAGTGCATCTGGGCTCCGGGACTCCTGCCTGCTCCCGGATTCCCCCCAAGTCCCACGCAGAAACGTCAAAAGTCGGGGCGCTAGCCTGGTATTTTGTTTTTTTTTGGGGGGGGGCTGCTCCGCTCCGATGATCCCCTCCCCAAGGCCGTCCTTACCCTCCTGTCCACCCCCAGCCGTGTGATTTGGTTGCCGGAGCTTGCAAACGGCCGCAGGAGCGAGTGTTTGCAAGTCGCGGGCATCGTTGGGCTGTCTTGACTTTTTGGTTCTCTCGAGCCCCCCATCCCTCGTCCCCCCAGACGATCCTGGAAGGTCCAGGATCGCCTTTTCCCCCGTCGCTCCTATGATAACAGTTGTAAACTGGACCCGCAACTACACTGGTGTGACCAAGAGAGGGACAGGAAGTGTGAGGTCGCGGCTGGGTGGCTGGTCCCCGGGCTGACGCGCCTAACGGAGCGCCCTCCCTGCCCTCCCTGTCCGGAGTCGGCTCCTGGGATGTGACCGAGACTGTGACTGCTCTGGGACAGGTCCCGCACTCGGCGCTCCTCACTGACAGTGCCGCAGCAGGGACCCCCCTGAATCCCCCACCCCCAAGTTGGGCGAAGGGATCGCCGGGGTGTTGGTGTCCGAAACCGGCGGTGCGCGCCTTTCGTCCACTCGGTGCAAACCGCCGGCCCTCCACGTTTGAGTGAGGAAGTGTCTGAGTTCTCTACGATTACTGGGTCCTTAGTCTTTGTGGGTGATTCCCGGTAAAAAGCATAGTGTGTATAGTGTGTGCGTGCGTGTGTGTGTGTGTTGTGTCTGTGTTGAGAAATTGATCACTTCCTCTCCGGTTCATTCATTTGGCCTCTTTGTAATTTAACGTTTTCCTTCGCTCCCTTCCACGCCCCTATTTTTCCTTCCTTCACTGGTGCCGAGGGAGTGGTCCCTGTACCTATTCAGTGTTTTCTGCTTTCTGGTGGAGAAGTCTGATCTACTCCGGACAATTCGAGGTTCTTTTCGATGCTTGAGTCACTTAGACTGTCTACCTTCCTATTTACTATACTGCTCTCAACTAGTGAGGCTTTAAATTTGCAAACGTGTGTTTAAAAGCTTTGGGCATGGAGGGAAGAGGAGGAACTGGATGCATATTTTATGCATGTACAGAGTTCCTTGATTTTTTTTTAAGACTTCTGGAATACGCTGAGATATTTTTAGACTCCTCCGACTTGCTACAACTCTGAGCTGGGAGTTGTTTCTGCCGCCCCAGGCAACCAGGTCATGGTTGGTCATGAGGCTTCACACAGGGCCTCCTTTCCAATCAGGTGGCATTTACAGAGCCCGAGTTATGTAAGTGAAAGGCTGGCGATCAGAGTAGAGGGGTATAAGACTTTGTCTTGCCCAGTGGCTGAGTCCACCCTGAAACACCGAGTCAAGTGCAAAGTAGAGGGAAGTAGTAAAAAAAAAAATATATATATATATATATATTTAATATCATCAAATACTATTAAACCAAGGCATATATAGCAATGTCTAATCATTAATTACTACATATAAATAAGTTACCAATTCTAGCTTTGTTGAACCAAGATAAAAGCAGTTTCTAAATCTTTATGACTGTCATCGTTAATGCAACTGTATCCCCCAAGTGTGTTTTTTATTGCTGCAGTCTTAGGGGCAAATATGATCTGATAGGTTCTCTTTTCCATCCCTGCCAACCCCCCCACCCCCCAATTCTGGAGTTATGTTACAGTGTTGTTTACCATCACTGTAGAAAAATATTTGGAGTGCATTTCCAGAACAAGGGTGGAAGTAAGATTGCCTCAGGATATAACTTGGGCCTTTTACCTCTATTCCACAGAGAATTTGATTAATCTGGATTTGACAAAAGAACCACTGTTGGGACAGATTAACTGTCAAGGGGGAAATCGCCATTTCTATAACACTTTGATATTCTCCTCACCACCCGGCTTGAATAAGCCTTCCGTAGCCTCCAGGGTAAAGTCTGAACCGGGCCCAACTCTTCAGGCTCCTATCATTTGCTTGAACATATCTTCAGCGGCCTTATCTTCCCCGGCTTTTCTCATTCATCCTCCAGTGCAGACACTGCCCTTTTTTTGCTGTTGTGCAATGTGTCCTGGGGAGTCCCTCCTTTGGGACTTTGCCCCTTTGTGCTGGTCCCCAGTGTAGAGTACCTCCCCATCTCTGCATCCCAGAGTCCAGCCATTTTCTCAGGACTCAAGCCTCTTCCCACACTCTGCAGGTTGGTGCCTGACCTTCCCAGTGATAGCTCTACCGCGTAATCCCTGCAGTGTGCATGCCTTATTTTGTAAGTTTCTTGGGTTCTGTACATCAGAAAACTATGATTTTGTAGTATCTTTGCCCCTTAAGAGGTAAGTCGGCACATTGTAGGAGTTATTGCATGCTCTCTGTTCCAGTCTGCCACAAAAAAGTGAATCTTTTCTTTAAAATTTAATTTCATTTAATTTTTTTTAATGAATCACTGTGAGGTACAGTTACAGACTCACAAACTTTCACGCTTACGTTTCAGTCATACAACGATCGAGTACCCATCCCTCTGTCAGTACCCGTTCTCCACCACCAGAAAGGGAATCTTTTTGATGTAGAGCCAGTCACACAAATCTTCGGGTTTTCCAGAGTATATAAAGTTATGTTTCTACTCTACTGCAGTCTGTTAAGTGTGCAATAGCACAGTCTGCCTAGTCCTCTACTGACCGAAGGAGACAGCACAGAGGACCCATATATGATGACGGGGATTGAACCTGGGTCTGCTGCATGCAAAGTAATCCTAAACCCACTGCACTGTCTTTCCAGTTCTGTTTTAGTAACATTTAAAGTATTTTAATGTTTAAAAGTATTGAGCTTGTAGTGGATTGTAACTTTTTGGTGGGGGAGGGTTTTGTGAAATATGAGGACTTCTGTAAAACAAGGCACCATAGAATGAGATGTACAACATATGGACCCTGTTTTGTTTGTCTTTGTACTGGGCTGATGTTCTGAATCAGACAGACATAATTTTCATGATAACTCAATATAGTTTTTTTCCCTGTTAGGTTTTTGTTTTGTTTTGGATCTTCCTGATGATGCTCAGGGGTTATTCCTAGCAGTGCTCGGTGGACCATATGGGATGTACAGGAATCAAACTAGGATAGGCCACATGTAAGACAAATGCCCTACCTGCTCTATTGTCACGCTGGCCTCTCCCCATTGGCTTATAAGCTCTCAGACCTTGGCAATGTTCTATCTTGTTCAGTTAGAGATGGCATAAGTCAAATCCTGTAGCTCTGACTACAGGATCCTTCATCTTTGCACATAAAACATTTGGTATGCTGCTGAGGAAACCAGAAAGCACCAACTGGATGGATTTGTGTAAATAAAATCATCTGGTTGGATTTTGGGAGGATTGTTAACACTTTGGAGTATCTGGGTGCAGATTTTGTTTTGGGTAAAGGGAAACCACAGGATAATTGTTTTGAAGTATTTTAATCATTCGTGTTACCATGTGAAGATAGCACACTGGTCTCAGTTTGAATTGTGCCGAGCAGTCAGCAGTCTCCACTGCTCGCTGCTTCTATTGGCTGGTCCTGACATAGCATAAATTTTTCTCTGGGAACTGAAATGCTGTCTGGGCTCTCTTAGTTCTTAAACAGCACTGTTCACACAATCCCTAGCATGAAGTGGGCCTCAATGACCAGTGTGTGTTATCTGTGTTACTAAGAGAAAGAACCAATAAACATGCTTCTTTCAACTTCTAGTCCTTGGGTGCAGAGGTGTGAAATGTTTAGTGCTGAGTGCTTGGGAAGTCCTTTCCCTAGAGCCAGGGAAAACTTTCCCTGGTTTTCTTTTGATTGCTTTCCTTTTCTGAGCCTAACTCCATCTCTGTCTCTCCCTCTCCCCCTCTCTGTTTGATGACTTGGATTGGAGGCATGAAACACCTCTGTAGATTTTTAAAACATCAGTGATAGTACCTCTATAAAATTACTCCTCGATGATTAAGCACATTTAAGTCTACTCCTAAGTCTACTCCTAAATCATACCATTTATATCAAGAACAGGCCCAGATTATGTTGATGATGGATTCATTGCAAAATGATTTGTAACTATTATTGAGATTTGTGACATTTCTCTATCTTTATAATGGGCTTAAAGATAGTACAGGGAAAGATTTTCATTCATTAAGTTTTCATCAGTTTGGTGGTGTGAGGCTCAGTTTGTCTAAAGTATTTAATTTTGTAGATTCTCAAATGCAGGTAAAAATTGGGGCTGGAGTGATAGCACAGCAGGCGGGGGATTTGCCTTGCCCGCAGCCGACCTGGGTTTGATTCCCAGCATCCCATATGGTCCCCCAAGCACGGCCAGGAGTAATTCCTGAGTGCATGAGCCAGGAGTAACCCCTGTGCATCGCTGGGTGTGACCCAAAACCCAAAAAAACAAAAACAAATCAAATGCAGGTAAAAATTAAAACCAGATTCTTGTGACTCTTCTTTACTGCTCTCAAATGTGTGGCAATCCTGGGTATGCCCCCCTGCCCAACAAACAAACAATCCTAAAGATTGGAATTTGGTGCCTTAAAAGTGAAATTACTTGCTATCATAAGTTGTTTTGTTTCGGTTGTATGAACCCTCTTTGGCCATTCGTCTAAGCCAGTGAACTTCTTTTTTTCCTCCCAGAAAAAGTGGGAGGGGGTGGGAGGGGGTGGGATTGGGTCATACTGAGTGATGCTCAGGCTAACTTGAGCATTATTATTCTTGGCTAACTTGTTCTCAGGTGAAATCCTTGGCAATGTTCTGAAAACTATAAGTACTGTCAGGGATATGAACCAG